CTCCTCCTCCTCCTCCTCCTCCTCCTCCTCCTCCCTTTCCACAAACTCCTTTCCCTTCTACATGAAATGTCTGCAAGAAAACCACCAAGCTCAGAGAGCACCAAGGACCCCACAGTCATTGTCTTCTCCTCCTCCTCCATTCCACAAACCCCACTCCCTTCTACACTGATGTCGTTACCTAGTCAGATTCATGAAACGTCTGCAAAGAAAACCCCCCAGCTGGCAGAACACCCCCAAGGACCCTTCCTTTCCATCCCTTGGCGGTGTCGGTCGCTTACCTTGCCAACAATTTCTGGGCACAATCCGTTGCAGGCTTTGCTTAAGGCTGCCGATTTATTCATCCATTCGGTGAGCCGGGCGGCTGCGTCAATCGACCGGGAGGTGAGAGAGACCTTGGCCGGTGGGATTTTCAAGGGCATGTCCCAGGTGGTCATATAGGTACCCCAAGGAGAAGCCTACAGGAGAGGGAGAATCCCTCTCTGTCATGGGTTCAACCCTGCAGGCACGGCGAAAAGCCGGGCCCCGTTCACACGGCAGGGTCCAGGACACAGGTTTGGAGAAGCCCACCGCTGTAACGCAGGTGTGTTCGTAACTCAGGAACAATCTGTGTTTGCAACCAACAGCCTTTCTTGAAATCTTTGCTGGCTTATGTGCAAGCCAACCTGGGTGTCTTGTGGGAAACCGACCACAGCTTCAACATATTAAGTTATTGCAAGGGGTCCTCGACTTACAACCGTTTTAGTGACCGTCCAAAGGGGCAACAGCCCTTACAAAAAAAAGGACAGGGTGGTTTTTCACACCATTGCAGCGTCCCCTGTGGTCAACGTGATCCAAATCCAGGCGCTCGGCCAGTGACTCGTATTTATGACGGTTGCAGTGATCAAGTGATCCCCTTTTGCGGCCTTGTGATAAGCAGAATCCATGAGGAAGCGGGGATTCCCTTAACAACCGTGTAACCATGGTGGGAACAAAGATGGTCAAAGGGGGGGAGACTCCCTTAACCGATGTCTCGCTTAGCGACAGAAAGTTTGGGCTGAATGGTGGCTGTAAGTTGAGGGCTACCTGCACTGATCTTATGGTTCTGTTAGGGCGGTCAGTTCAAGGGATGAAATCCCTGGTTGGGAAAAAAAAGAGAATAAGGCTCACCTTAGAGCGTGGGATGGAAGGGAGCAGGTGGCCTCTGTCATTGGCTACAAACTGAGTGAAGCCCTCCCGGGTTGAAGGATGCTGATGGGAGAAAAATAAGGGTGGAAGGAAGGGGAAGGGAAGGGAAGGAGGAAAGGAAAGGAAGTTAGAAGGAGAGGAGAGGAGGGGAGGGAAGGGAAGGGAAGGGAAGGGAAGGAGGGAAGGAAGGAAAGAAGGGAAGGAAGTTAGAAGGAGGGAAGGAAAGGAAGGGAAGGAGGGAAGGAAAGGAAGTTAGAAGGAGGGAAGGAAAGGAAAGGAAAGGAAAGGAAGAAGGAGGGAAGGAAAAGAAAGGGAAGGAGAAAAGGAAAGGAGGGGAGGAAAGGAAAGGAAGTTAGGGGAGGGAAGGGAAGGGAAGGAGGGCAGGGAAGGAAAGGAAAGGAAGAAAGGAAAGGAAAGAAGGAAAGGAAAGGAAGTTAGAAGGAGGGGAGGGAAGGGAAGGGAAGGAGGGAAGGAAAGGAAAGGAAGAAAGGAAAGGAAAGAAGGAAAGGAAAGGAAAGGAAGTTAGAAGGAGGGAAGGAAAGGGAAGGAGGAAAGGAAAGGAAAGGAAGTTAGAAGGAGGGGAGGGAAGGGAAGGGAAGGAAAGGGAAGGAAAGGAAAGGAGGAAAGGGAAGGAATGGAAAGGAAGATAGAAGAAGGGAAGGGGATGAAAGGAAAGAAGGGAAGGAGAAGGGAAGAGGAAGGAGAGAAAAGGAAAAAGAATGGAAAGGAAAGGAAGGGCGGAGAGGGAGAAAGAGAAAAGATTAGAATAATAGAATATGAAATAGAACAGAATGCAGAATAAAATACAGGAATAAGTGCAGAATGCAAAAGATAGAATGGAATGCAATAGAAAAGAACACAATAGGAAGATAGGAAGAGGACAGGATGGGGAATGTGAAATGCATTATTCATTAGCAGAATTAGCTCTCTAAGATGCTTCTGATAATTCGAGGCACACAATACCAGCACATCCCACTCCTGTCCCTCCTTATTCTCCCGTGCCTGCATTCTTTTCAAAAAAAAAATAAAAAACCCCATCAAAATGCAATCATCCATTAGACTTAATCTGGCAAATTTAACACTTTTCCTGCTCTGTTCTTAACCTCCGACGTTCATTAATTAACAAGGTTCCAGAGGCAAAGCCCCGCCGTCCCATCTGAGCCGTTCCCCGGAGAACGGTGAGAAGCACATCCCATTTTGGTTTTGATTTATTTTATTTTATTTTTTAAGTCTTTTACAAATCTTGACTCGAAAAATGATTAAAATACGTCATATGACAAAATCCACAAAGCGGAACCAAAGGCCTGGAACAGACTCTTTTTTTTTAAATAAAATGTTCATGTTTGTTTAGAGTTTTACCATTGATTTTATAAATTCTGTTTTATAAATTATTGAATTTACAACTCACCATTTAGCAGCTGTTTGAAGTTACAACAGCACTGAAAAAGAGTGACCTGGAGCTGGTCCTCACACTTACGACCGCCATAGCATCCCCACAGTCCCAGGATCAAATTTTGAATTTTAATCTATTTCGGAGGTCCGGTGATATTTTTCAGGACCCCCCGTTGCCCAGGGTTAGCGACAATTCGCATTGCCACCGTTTTGCGAGTCCGCAGGACACGCAGAACGCCAGCAAACTCCACGAGCCGTGTTCACACAACCCCGGTCGGCTACAGTCCGGGATTCAGCCGGTGGTGTGAATCTGCCTTCTTCTCCTGTTTAAAAAAGGGCTTCCCCCCCCTTTTTTTTTTTTTTGGTCTTGGAAGCAACTCACCGCCTTAGTAACTTTGGGAAGACTCCAGCTTTGCAAATTCCGCGGATTATAGGCATCTTCATACTGGAAAATGACATGGGGGGTGGTGGTAAATGAAATATATAAAGCAATATATCAAAATATTATAATAATAATAATAATAATAATAATAATAATAATAATAATAATAATAATAATAATAATAATAATAATAATAATAAAAGTTGGAAGGGACCTTGGAGGTCATCTAGTCCAACCCCCTGCTCAGGCAAGAGACCCTATACCATTTCAGACAAATGGCTGTCCAGTCTCTTCTTAAAAACCTCCAGTGTTGGAGCATTCACTGCTTCTGGAGGCAAGGAGTTCCACAGGTTAATTTTTCTAACTGTCAGGAAGTTTCTCCTTAGTTCTAGGTTGCTTCTCTCCTTGATTAGTATATCAATGTATATGTATTGAGATACTGAGATATAGATATAGATATAGATATATAGATATAGATATAGATATAGATAGGTAGGTAAGTAGATAGATAGATAGATAGATAGATAGATAGATAGATAGATAGATAGATAGATAGATAGATAGATAGATAGATAGATATAATAAATCAGTATATTAATGTGTAAATAATGGTGAACAGGCCAAAACAGGACGAAAGTGGGGGGGCAAATGGGGGCAGAGCCTGTTGAGAAAAGAAGGGGGGGCACCCCTGCTGCAGGAAAAGGGATTTTTACCCCCCAATAAAAAAGATTGGGGAAAAAAAATAATAGATGTAACCGTTATTTATCAAAATAATAACTGTATTATTTCAAGGTTTGGAAAGAAGACATTGTGGAGAAAAGGGGAAATCAACTAAAGTTACTATGTGGATTATGGATTCTAGAAACCAATTGCTAATGATTTTTCTTTACAAAGGTAAACCCAGCAAACACATTGTTTACCCACTATTAAGTGACTTATGTTTTTAAAAATTCAATAAAATGTATGGGGGGAAAAAGATTATATTTTATTTTATTTTATTTTTCTCTTTGTCTTGGAAAAAAAACTTTGGCTCTTGTGGGAACTTGGGATGGAGAGGAGAAAATGGGGTGGGGGGGCGTGTGGAATCCCTCCTGCAGAATCCCCCCCCATTCTGCGCTCCAAGAGATCACCCTTTATGGGATATGTAGTCCCGAGCACCTCTCCTCCCCATCTGCATGGAGATGGGAGTTGTAGTCCAACATAACTGCAGGGTGCTATGGGGCAGGGAGGGTCGAAGCCCCCCCCGTCCTGAGGTTTGCCTCCCCCCAACATGCATTTAAACCCCCAAATTTTGGAGGGGGGAGTTTGGGGGCGCCCCTCCCGCCCCCCTTTCTCACCTGCCCCGAGCTGAAATGCGTTGCCATCGCGGCTTTGCAGGGGTTTTGTTTGGGCCGTCGCCTAGCAACCGTGGGCGTGGCGGTTGAGAACAAAGGAGCGGCTCCAGCCAATGGGGGGAGGGCGGGAGGCTAAGCCACGCCCGCCTCCGCCCGCCAGGCGTCGCCGTTGCTTTCCGTCTTGCTTCGCGTCCTCGTTGAGGCCTAGCAACTTGGTTTGTCCTTGAAAAGGAAAAAAAAAGGTGGGAGGGGAATTGGGGGGGGCAGGGCCTCGTGGTTTTTCCCCCCTTGAACGAATTCGCTCTTAAGGACCGTACTATTTTATTTTTATTATTTAAATGAAATGTATTAAACTGTATTAAATGTATTTAAAAAAACAGGCCGAGTTTGTCTGTTTCAAAGATGTATAAACCAGGATGGCTTGTAAGGGGTGGCGAGGCTGATTTTTCCTCTTAAACGTAAAGTCACATTTTGGTTTGGGTGTTTAATTGTTTGTTTGTTTATTTAGTTTCTGTTTCATTTTTTTATTTATTTCATGTTCAATTTCGTTTAGAGTTGTTTTTTTAGGTATTTAATTTTAGCTGTTGGTTTCATTTTTATTATTTTTTTAGTTGCTTCGGGCATTTTACGCCTTTAATTTTCAGTGGCTTGTCCTCGTTTTTAGGTTTTAGTTGATTTAATTCTTATTTTCATTTTTAAAAAATGATTAATTCTTTTAATGCAGGGGTCTTCCAACTTGGCCCTTTGATGACTTGTGGACTTCAACTCCCAGAATTCCTCATGTGCCTGGCTGAAGGATTCTGGGAGTTGAAGTCCACAAGTCATCAAAGGGCCAAGTTTGAAGACCCCTGTCTTAAACCTAACAAACAAAATGGAGGCTGGCTGAGGGATTCTGGGAGTTGAAGTCCACAAGTCATCAAAGGGCCAAGTTGGAAGGCCCCTGTCTTAAATCTAAGAAACAAAATGGAGGCTGGCTGAGGGATTCTGGGAGTTGAAGCCCACAAGTCATCAAAGGGCCAGGTTTGAACACCCCTGTCTTAAACCTAACAAACAAAATGGAGGCTGGCTGAGGGATTCTGGGAGTTGAAGTCCACAAGTCATCAAAGGGCCAAGTTGGAAGACCCCTGTCTTAAACCTAACAAACAAAATGGAGGCTGGCTGAGGGATTCTGGGAGTTGAAGTCCACAAGTCATCAAAGGGCCAAGTTTGAAGACCCCTGTCTTAAACCTAACAAACAAAATGGAGGCTGGCTGAGGGATTCTGGGAGTTGAAGCCCACAAGTCATCAAAGGGCCAAGTTTGAGGACCCCTGTTTTAATGTTTATTCTGTTTTTCTTTTTTAGGTGGGGGAGGCCCTTCAGGATATGTCTCTTTCTGCTTCTCCTGCCAGATGTTTGCCAGATGTTGGGACCCTCCTCCTCCTCTGCTGTTTCCAGTCATCTTCTCCACCCCGCAGTGAGCCTTCAAAGATGCCTTTTTATCTGCCCCGGCCAACTTCTGCTGGCAGTAATTAAATGGTATTTATAGCAAGCGGGGAAGAGTTAATCTGCAGAGATAATTAAAAGCTGCCAGGTTGCCCTGTGGGAGCTGCTCTTTCGCCTGCCTTGTTTTTGATGAGAAAGGTCGGGCTGCCAACCTCTGGACAGCCGCTAGGGGGCAGCAGGGTGGCACAGACAATTCCGCCACCTACTGGCCGTTTGGGAGGTTTGCAAGCAAGCAAGAGAATTTCTTGCAGATCTCTGATTGTAATAAAAAGCATCCGTCAATTCTAGATGTTTTGGGATAGAAAGGTTGGCTGTTAATCTGGGCTTTGGGGCATAAAAGAGGTTTAAGCCCCCACTTAAATAAATAAAAATGGAACAACTGAATAGCGGGAGAGATGCCCAATTGAGCTGCTGTGTTTCTTTGGCTCTCTCTTTCCTTTCTTTTTTTTTTCCCTTTCCCTTCCTCTTCCTTTTTTCTTGTTTTTGTCCTTGTTCTCTTTTAGCTTCCTTCCTTTTCCTATTTCTTTCCTTCAGCTACCCCCTTCCTCCCTCCCTCCCTCCTTTTCTTTTTTCCTTTCTTCCCTCCCTCCCCTCCCTTCTTTCTCTTTCTTTCTGTCTGTCTTTCTTTCTCTTTCCTTCTTTCCTTCCTCCCTCTTTCCTTCCATCCTTCCTTTCTTTCTTTCCTTCCTTCCTTCCTTCCTTCCTCCCTCTTTCCTTCCTTCCATCCTTCCCCTTTCCTTTCCTTCCTTCCCCTTTTCTTCTTTCTTTCTTTCTTTCTTTCTTTCTTTCTTTCTTTCTATCTTTCTTTCTATTTTTCTTTCTCTCTCTCTCTTTCCTTCCTTCCCTTCTTTCCTTCCTTCCATCCTTCCCCTTTCTTTTCCTTCCTTCCCCTTTTCTTCTTTCTTTCTTTCTTTCTTTCTTTCTTTCTTTCTTTCTTTCTTTCTTTCTATTTTTCTTTCTTTCTCTCTCTCTTTCCTTCCTTCCCTTCCTTCCCTTCCTTCCTTCCTTCCTTCCTTCCTTCCTTCTCTTTCTTTCTTTCTTTCTTTCTTTCTTTCTTTCTTTCTTTCTTTCTTTCTTTCTTTCTTTCTTTCTTTCTTTCTTTCTTTCTTTCTTTCTTTCTTCTTTCTTGTCTCCTTCCTGCTTTCCCCTCCCTGCCCTGCTGCAAACACTCCCTCCGTAATTCAGGACCCCACTGAGCCAGAAAGGTGGCATGGATGTTCGGGCCTGAATTGCCCTTGCGGTGCTCAACTGCAGCTGCGGGGGGGGGGGAGGACATCTGTGCCCATCAGGCTGGGCTGGCGGGTCGTGTCTGGGAGATGCCGCAGCAGAGCTGGGCGGGAAGCAGCCCAGCCCCCCCCCAGCCCATCTCCGCTCTCCAGGCCTGTTGTGCAGGCAGAGAAGGGGGGGTGCCAGTGCCCCCCTCGGCCAGCTGAGGAATGACAGGGGAGGAGAGTGACGGAGAGGGTGACTCACCCTATGCAAATGATCCACCAACGGCCGCCGGGACAGCCAGGTGGCATGATGGGAAACACTCAGTGGGGAGAGAACCCCCCATTTACACCCCCAAATCGCCCTACAGGAAATGCCGTTGCAGTCCAGCCCAGGCATAGAGCCGGGCAGAATCGATCCACTGATCTGAAACTAGGATCTCTTTGCAACCCAGTTGTGCTCCCCGTAAACTGGAGGATCCCCCGCACGGGAGTCTCGGGCCCCGTCCGCCTGTCTCNCTTTTGGCTAAGATCAAGTGTAGTATCTGTTCTTATCAGTTTAATATCTGATATGTCCTCTATTTGAGGACTACATATTAAATGGATTTTTGGAACTGGGAGATGGAATAGGGGCTTGCTCCGTCCACTCCAAGCATCGGCCTGGTATTGCAGTGCCTCCAGGAACGGTGCACCTCCCCCTGGGAGGAATCTCATGGGTTGAAAAATAGATCTTGGATCAGAAACTCCTTGCAGAAGGATCCTCAGAGGGATCCTTTGCTCAGGGATCTGCTTACAACCTCCCTCTAACCAGGGTGATGGCCTGCTTGCCACCATCTGCACACACAGAGAGATGGACGGGGAGTCTGTTGCTGTGATGGGTGGGACCGTAAATGCTTAAATAGATCAGAAAAGGATCCAGTTTCAGGCTAGGAGGGGGTGTTCAATTGAGGAGTGGGCTAAAAAGGCTTTCAATGCCTAGATAGATCAGAAAAGGATCCAGTTTCAGGGTAGGAAGGGCTGCTAAATTGAGGAGTGGGTTAAAAAGGCTTTCAATGCCTAAATAGATCAGAAAAGGATCCAGTTTCAGGGTAGGAAGGGCTGCTAAATTGAGGAGTGGGTTAAAAAGGCTTTCAATGCCTAAATAGATCAGAAAAGGATCCAGTTTCAGGCTAGGAAGGGCTGCTAAATTGAGAAGTGCGCTAAAAAGGCTTTCAATGCCTAAATAGATCAGAAAAGGATCCAGTTTCAGGGTAGGAAGGGCTGCTAAATTGAGAAGTGCGCTAAAAAGGCTTTCAATGCCTAAATAGATCAGAAAAGGATCCAGTTTCAGGGTAGGAAGGGCTGCTAAATTGAGGAGTGGGTTAAAAAGGCTTTCAATGCCTAAATAGATCAGAAAAGGATCCAGTTTCAGGGTAGGAAGGGCTGCTAAATTGAGAAGTGCGCTAAAAAGGCTTTCAATGCCTAAATAGATCAGAAAAGGATCCAGTGTCAGGCTAGGAGGGGGTGCTCAGTTGAGTGGGTTAAAAAGGCTTTCAATGCCTAATAAGATCAGAAAAAAAGGATCCAGGCTTAGGCCAGGAAGGGGTGCTAAAACTCAGGAGTGGGTTAAAAAGGCTTTAAAAAAATCCCTAACGGCATCCCAAAAGGATCCAGCTTAGTTTCAAGCCACACAACGGCACTTTGATATATTACATACCGGTCCCAACTTTTATTTTTCACATCGGCCGTTTCTCTTTCTCCAATCCGTAAAAAAAAAAACCACCAAGAATTTCACCTCCTATCCGGGGGGCTCGGCCCAATTGACGCCCCAGTCCCCCCAAAAAGTCAAGCGTCTGTCACTTCTCTTCCTTTTAAAGACCCCAAACCGGCATTTTCACTGCTGGCTTTCCCAAAATTAAAAAAAAAAAAAAAAAACCCCACTGGATTATCTCTGGTTTACAACCTTGCAAGTAAGACAATCCCGTGAGCCTTTGACTCATAAATCATTGTGAGTGTGGCAATCCAGCTTGACAGGCGGAGAGAGCGAAAACCTTGGATCTTTTTCTAATTGCTTGGGAGGAAAGAGGGGGAAAAAAAGGGGGGGGAGCGATGGAGAGAGAGATCTGTTTGCTAAGCCATTTTTTTTTTTTTTTTTGCTTTCTGCTTTTCCTTCTGGGCTCCACCTCGGCCGTCCTTCCTCCTCCTCCTCCACCCTGGAGAAAAAATGGCAGCCACGAAGGCGGCGTTTGCCCCAAAGCTGAAAACCCTGATTCAGACTCTTCCTGCATCGGTCGCTCCTTATTCTGCATGGACAGGTGGAGGAGATAACACAGGCTTTATTTCATTTTATTTATTTTTATTTTTTTTGTTATTTTATTTTAGTGTCGTTTGGCTTAGCTTCGTTTAGCTTCGTTTAATGATCTCTCATTGAATTGTAAGAAATTGGATTGTCAGAAATTGCCAGCTGTTTGTTTGTTTGTTTGTGTGTTTATTGCTTTTATACCTTTGGATTAATTCGGTGGGTTTTGCTGTCAGAAAATTTGCACTGATCCTCAAGGGGGACGGAAACCAAATGGCATTTCAGAGGCGGAAGAGAAATGAATTAGGTTTCAAAGGAAGGACAGTGCAGGAGCAGAGAGCCATTTATATGCAAATTTACTTCCTTCCTTTTTTTTTAACCCACCTCCCCCCCCCCACCTTACTGTAATCAGAATAACACAGATGGAAGGGACCTCGGAGGTCTTCTAGTCCAGCCCCCTGCTCCAGCAGAATAACAACAGAATAACACAGATGGAAGGGACCTTGGAGGTCTTCTAGTCCAGCCCCCTGCTCCAGCAGAATAACAACAGAATAACACAGATGGAAGGGACCTTGGAGGTCTTCTAGTCCAGCCCCCTGCTCCAGCAGAATAACAACAGAATAACACAGATGGAAGGGACCTTGGAGGTCTTCTAGTCCAGCCCCCTGCTCAAGCAGGAAATCCTATACCATTTCAGACAAATGCCTGTCCAGTCTCTTCTTGAAAAACCTCCCCCTCAACTTCTGGAGGCAAGCAGTTCCAGTGATTAATTCTTCTCACTATCAGGAAATTTCTTAGTTCTAGCTTGCTTCTCTCCTTGATTAGTTTCCATCCGTTGCTTCTTGTCCTGCCTTCAGGGGCTTTGGAGAATAAGCTGACCCCCCCTCTTCTTTGGGGCAGCCCCTGAGATACTGGAACGCTGCTATCCTGTCCCCCCTCGTCCTTCTCTTCGTTAAACTGGACATCCCCAATTCCTGCAACCGTTCTTCTGCGTATGTTTCAGCCTCCGGGCCCCCCTAATTGCCTTCGTTGCTCTTCTCTGACGCAAAAGGATGGAAAAATCTTCCCCCACGTCTGATTGTGGGGTGCTCACATTTCAATTTCTCTCCGTCCCACCCACCCCCTTTGCAGATGATCTGCTTCGGAACATGGACCAGCGAGAAGCCTGGGATCGCTTCTACTCCCGGAGGGAGACAAACGGACCTCCCCATCCGTTCGACTGGTTCTTTGGCTACAAAGAGATCTCAACGTTTCTCGGCTCCATCCTTGGGGGGCTGCCCCCTGGCCGGGCCCGGGTCCTAGACGTGGGCTGTGGCACGTCGTCCTTGGGCTTGGAACTCTACCGACATTCGTCCGTCCAGGTTCATATCTGTTGTCTGGACTTTTCCTCCGCGGCCCTCCGGGGTCTCGCTCGGATGCTTCAGGATAGCCCCCCGCCACGCCACCCCCTTTCCGAGCTGCGGTGCCACCTGGGCGATGCCACCAAACTGTCCCACCTCTTTGCTTTGGGCTCTTTCCACCTGGTTCTCGACAAAGGGACCTGCGATTCGGCCCTGCGGGGATCCCCCCGGCGGGCGAGACAATTGGTGTCCGAGTGTCTACGGGTCCTGAGCCCGGAGGGGTGTCTCGTCCAGATCTCCGACGAGGATCCGGATGCCAGGGTACCGTTCCTGGAAACAGCCGGCGGAGCCAACATCAAAGTTGGGGAGATTGCCAATCTTAACGGCATCGCATATTATGCTTACACGCTCAGCCCACGCACTCCAGACCCATCGGAGGTGGGGCAGCCCGCCAAATCTGCGTGGAATCCAACCGGCGAGCAGTCTTAAGTGAAATCTAACAAGAGACGTAATACCCATCCATCTTTTATCATACACTCCAGTCAGTTAGCGGTAGTTAATTTAATTTGTTTTATTTTCTCAGTCTGGACTCTCCCGAGTTCCCCTTTGTGAAGCAAAGTAATAATAATAAAAATAATAAAGTTGGAAGGGACCTTGGAGGTCATCTGGTCCAACCCCCTGCTCAGGCAGGAAACCCTATACCATTTCAGACAGGTGGCTGTCCAGTTTCTTCTTAAAAACATCCAGTGTTGGAGCATTCACCGCTTCTGGTGGCAGGTTGTTCCACTGGTTAATTGTTCTAACTGTCAGGAAGTTTCTCCTGAATTCCAGGTTGCTTCTCTCCTTGATTAGTTTCCATCTGTTGCTTCTTGTCCTGCCTTTAGGTGCTTTGGAGAATAGCTTGACTCCCTCTTCTTTGGGGCAGCCCCTGAGATACTGGAATACTGCTATCCTGTCCCCCCTCGTCCTTCTCTTCATTAAACTAGACATACCCAATTCCAGCAACCGTTCCTTATATGTTTTAGCCTCCAGTCCTCTAATCATCTTTGTTGCTTTTCTCTATACTCTTTCTAGAGTCTCAGAATCAAACACAATCTCTCTCTCTCTCTTGTCCCTCTATCTCTCCCTCTATCTGTCCATCCATCCATCCATCCTTAGGACTTTGTTCAGGTCGATCAACTTTTGGGGAACAAGCCACGATTGGCTTGCTTCCTGTAGACCAAGAAGCCATAAAACCTAGTTTCCTAATGGCAGGAGCTCTGCTCTCAGCACCACAAAGTAAATATGGTGGTGAGTGGAATTCTTGAGTTCAAATACAATATTGGCCCCTGTTCTAGACTTGAGAATACGGCGATATGTTGTTTTTTTTTAAAAGCTGCCATCTCTTGATTTCATTGCAATTTATTTATTGAATTGGTAGGAATCACCCAGAGTCCTTCAGAGTTGGGCAACATACAAGCATGTTCAATCAATACAAATTATTATTATTATTATTATTATTATTATTATTATTATTATTATTATTATTATTATTATTATTATTATTATTATTATTATTATTATTATTATTATTATTATTATTTAGAATAAAGCACGTCTCTAACTTCCTAACTGTTGCAACACAGTGCCCATTTCCTTGGGAAAAACGGCCGTGCCAAATTCTCAAGTCTGATCCCAAAGTTGACTCCACTTTTACAATAAGTTGCACGAAACATGAGACAGTGATTTTATTCCGGGATCAGTTAAATTCCTTGCAGGATTCTCCCGACTATTTCAACGGAAACCCGGCTGAATTTGAACTCGGGTGAATGCGTGGAAATGTTGCGGTGTGGGTATAAATCTTTCACTGTAAATCTTTCATTTTGAACCAGTCCTCGGCTTACGACAAAAGATGGGTGTAGGAGTTTGGGGAATAAGAACTAGGCCAAAGTGGGGAGGGGGGGGAAAACAGCCTTCACAATCTCCACGTTGACTCGGCGGTAACTAGCCAGGTTTCCCATCCTGGTTCTGGTTTGTAAGAGGTTACGAAAATGTCGGCTTGTCCCGTCGGTCGCAGGTTAACGAAGCCAGCTTTGGGTTTTACGCTAAGAGCTCTTCCACATCGCTTTCAAAAGAGGCGAACCCTAAAAATAAAAAATAAATGGTAAAAAGTTGAGCGCTATTTAGCATTATTTTATTCCAAATATATTTTAAGACACCTTGATTCCCTTTGAAGAAGCTCATTATTTATGCATTTGTTAATTTCGTCGTAGCCTCAGGGATTGGGGGTGCTTGCTCACAACTGGGGAGAGTGGAAAGTATATACTAGTCCTCAACTTAACGGCCAGAGTTGGGGTAAGAATTTCCATCGCTAAGCAAGGCAGTCGATCAATGTGTCGTGTCTGATTTTATCGCCTTTTTTTGGCCAGGGTTGCAGTCGTTAAACGAATCCTGTAGCCGTTAAGCGAATCCAGCCTTTCCCCCCCATTGACTTGGCTCTTTGGAAGCCAGAAGCATTTGGTGATCACGTGATCCTGGAAGGAGCTTCTAAAGAACACCTAGAGCTTCCCAGGAACACCTGGAGGAGCTTCTCAGGAACATCTGGAGGAGATTCCCAAGAAGAGGTTCCCGGGAACGCCTGGAGGAGATTCCTAGCAACATCTGGAAGAGATTCCAGGAACCACCTGGAGGAGGTCTCCAGGAGCATCTAAAGAAGCTTCTGAAGATCAGCTGGAGCTTTTCGGGAACATCTGGAAGAGGTTCCCAGGAAATTCCAGAAGAGGTTCCCCGGAAGTTTCCCAAGAAGAGGTTCCCGGGAACATGTGGAGGAGCTTCTTAGGAACATCTGGAGGAGCCTCCCAAGAACACCTGGAGGAGGTTTCCAGGAACATCTAAAGTCGCTTCTGAAGAACACCTGGAGCTGTTCAGGAACCTTTGGAAGAGGTTCCCAAGAAGGGATTCCCGGGAACATCTGGAGCAGCTTCCTAGGAGCATCTGGGGGAGCTTCCCGGGAACACCTTGAGACGATTGCTAAGGATCCTAGCAAAAGGGCGTCCAACCAGCTACTCAAAGGGTCCAAGATGACATGGAGGCCAACCCTTCTCCCAGTCCCGAGCTCACCAGCCTCCAGTTCCTCCTCTTCCTCCTCCTCCTCCTCTTCAGCCAGGAACTCCTCTTGCTCAGCCCCTTCCAGCAACGGGAAGTCCTCGGGGGGCCACAGCAGCTCCCCACTCTCCCCATCGCTCCCTTCGCTGGTCTCCACCACGATGGAGGGCAGACGGGTCTTCTGGAACACCAGACCTTCGTAGGGTGTCTTCTCACAAGGCCACCGGTCCAGCTCCTTGAAGCCATCCGAAAGCTCTGGATGATCCTGGGGGGTCATCTCTTCGCAGCGAAGGCCCGTGTCCAGGGGGGGACTCCGCGAGAGGTCCCACCCCAGGTCTTGTGGTGGAATCAGAAAGTCCTGGGGGAGGGAACAAAAAACACCCAGGGGATCAGCCGGAGAAGAGATGGGCTGTTTATTTTATGATATATTATATATATTTCTATTATTCTGTTCCATTCTATTCTATTCTATTCTATTCTATTCTATTCTTCTATTCTATTCTATTCTATTTTTTATTTTTTTTATCTGTATCCCAGCTTTATTATATTTTACAAATAACTTAAGGAGGTGAACATATCCACTTTCTCCTTGTTCCCCACCACAACAATCCTGTGACGTAGCTTGGGCTGAGTGATTGGCCCAAAGTCACACAACTGGCTTTCATGCCTAAGGCGGGACTAGAACTCACTGAGCCTTACCTGCTGGTTCAGAGAAGGATCGGAGCAGGTGCAATCCTCCTTGGCCAAGCTCCACTGCATTTCTTGGCTGGCGTTTAGATCCGGCTGGCCGCTCGGCGTTGGATTCGAATCCTGCGCCAGACTCCGATAAGGACCGTGTTCCTCGCCTGAAGTCCTGGGATTCTGACACTTCTGGGCAATTTCCATCACGTTCGCATCTGTGGAGGTAGCAAAAAACGCAAGCAGCCCCTGTTTAGCGCCCACAATTGGACGCAACTGGCCATTTGGTCATGAAGTGGAACGGTCAGTAAGCGGAAACCGCAGCCGTGCCCAGGATTGGAGTTCCGCTTTCCTTTGCTGGACAGACCCGCGAAGGTGGTCAACGGGAGAACCAGGTCACAAAGTGACTTTTTTTTCAGCACCATTGCGACCGCGACCGGTTGTGAAACGAGGCCGTCACTAAACGAGGACGGCCTGTCTCTCTCTCGGGTTTTAGCAGCTCACAAATAAAAGCGGTGGAGAAAAAAACAACAACACTGTACTGTACAACCAAAAAGGAGAAGAACTGGCATCTAGCGGTCCACATTAAAAGCGCAAATCCATCCGAGGGTGATTAGCTGCCCTCGGCCCGGCTCTCAACCCCACCCCACAGCTGGCTGGGGATGATGGGAATCGTAGTGCCTTCCTTTCAAGCTACACCGATCATCGAGATCGGCCTCGGTTCTCTTTCCTTGGCTGCGGTTCCTGGAAACCATCCTCCCCAAGCGTTTAATCAAGGCGGGTGCTTGAAGGCGGATTAGCGGCCATCAAGAGATAAATGTCCAGATTGATATCTCAAAGAGGCCTTTGGCTTTTGGCAAGGTCATCCTGGGGCAGAGGAGAAGGTCAGCCAGAAGAGGACACCCCCCCTTCAGATCATCCTGCCCTGGGGCAATTGAATAGGAGACAGCCTGGCCTATGGCTTGCCAGAAAGTGAGAATTATAATAACAGAGTTGGGAGGGACCCTGTAGGTCATCTAGTCCAACCCCCCCCCCCTGTTGCCCAAGCAGGAGTTATTTGCAGCAAGGCTGAAAGACGCACATCTGTTTTTGGCTAAGCTGCAGCTCTGGAGCGTGGCCCACGAGAAACGGGAGGTCCAGCGGCTAAATCACTGTTTTCAAAGTGGGTAATGTTCAAATGGGTGGACTTCAAACTCCCAGAATTCCCCAGTCAGCTCTCGGATACTACCGTAGAGGCTTGTGCTGTCAGCGTTAGTGGGAGGGGTTTTTCCTTGATCAGGCTGTTTTTCACTGAGTTGTAAACCGACAACGCTGATAAGGCAAGGTGCTTGTTATGTAAACACAGCAAACCTCTCTCCCTCTTTGCATTGATGATGTTACCTAGTTGGGCGATGAAACGTCTGCAAGAAAACCAGCGAGCTCAGAGCGCACCAAGGACCCCCCACAGTCCTCCTCCTCATAAACCCCCTCCCCCTCCTAGCACTGATGATGTTACCTTGTTGGGTAATGAAACGTCTGCCAGAAAACTAGTAAGCTCAGAGAGCACCAAGGATCCCACGGCCTTGTAGCACTGATGACGTTATCTAGTTGGATAAGGAAATGTCTGCAAGAAAAGAGTCCTTGTCCCAACACGCCTCTTTCTCCTCCTCCCCCCCTCCTCTCCACAAACCCCACTCCCATCTAGCACTGATGGCGTCACCTAGTTGGGTAACGAAACATCTGCAAGAAAGCAACCCCCCAAAACCCCAGACTTGGTTAAGGGCAGATCAGCAAGAGCCTTGCACATACCCTCTTCTAGTTTGCAAG